CCAGGCTGAAGTTCTGTTTCTCCTGTACTGCCCCCAGATTCACCTTGCTGAGCTCCAGTTGCATGATGATCAACAGTCGGGTGCAAAAGACTGAAACCAACAATCTGTGGTTTATCCAGGGCTGATTTATTTGATATTTATTCAGAATATTAAACTCCAGCCCAGTTACAGGAATTAGTAACACCAGCAGAAACAAACACCACTGTCAGAATGAACATGATTCAGTCCTGGATGTGACTACCTGCAGCAATTACAACAGAATGGAGCCAGTTAGAGTCATAGATACATACAGCATGGAAACAGACCCTTTGGTCCGACTTGTCTATGCCAACCATAATTAATCCTGAATTAATCTAGTTTCATTTGCCAGCATTTGGCCCATATAACTGTAAACTCTTCCTATTAATGTACCCATCTAGATGCCTTTTAAATGTTGTAATTGTACCAGCCTCCACCACTTCCTCTGGCAGCTCATTCCACACACGCACCACCATCTGCGTGAAAAAGATGCCCCTTCGGTCCCTTTTAAATTTTTTCCCCTCTCACCTAAACCTATGCCCTGTAGGTTTGGACTTCCCTACACTGGGGAAAAATCTTGGCTATTCACCCTATCCATGCCCCTCATGATTTTATAAACCTATGAGGTCAACTCACATCCTCCGACGCTCCAGGGAAAAAAGCCCCAGTCTATTCGGCCTCTCCCTATAGCTCAAACCTGCCAACCCTGGCAACATTCTTGTAAATCTTTTCTGAACCCTTTCAAGTTTAACAACATCTTTCCTGTAGCAGGGAGACCAGAATTGAATACAGTATTCCGAAAGTGGTCTAACCAATGTCCTGTACAGCTGCAACATGACATTCCAACTCCTATACTCAATGCACTGACAAATAATTGTGAACTTGCTGGTGCCCAAGTCCTGTGGATTACCAAGTGAACTCTTTCGCCCATAAAAAAGGGCATGAACAACCTCTCACCAGTGTGAATGTTTTTGTTTTTCAGCAGACCCATTTCGCTTTAAAATCCCTGCTAACATTAAAAACTTTGAAACAGGTTCTTACCTGTGTGAACATTTGCGTACTAAGGTGGAATGATTGATTGAATTTCTTCCTGTATTGGGAGAAGGTGAATGGCCTCTCCTCGGTGTAAGTGCGCTGGTGGACAGTCAGTGTGAATTCACAAATGTGCAAGCAGGTCTGATGGATTAGTAAAGCTCTTCCTACGCCTGGCGTAGGTGAGTGACCTCTACCTCAGTGCGAACTCACTGGTGTTGCAGAGTCACAGTCACTTGAACATCTTCCCACAGTGAGAGTAGATTAATGGAAGGGAACCACAGTGAGTGCAACTGTCAGTGAAGGTTTTATAAATCTTGTCATAGATGAAATGTAGTATCAACTCACTGGCGTCTATGGAGACTGGATGGAGAAAGGTGCAAATTCACATCAAGGGCATGGGGTAGTTTTAAAGACGATTTGGCCCAGTAGTAACAGGGAGGCAGCCAATTGGATTATCTCAATCTCAGTGGCTAAGAAGCTTCCTGAGCTACACACAATTATTGTTGGAGTGAGGATGGAGGAAATGGGAAGAGGGAGACCTCTTCAAAGAGGACCTTACTTAGAGTCATACAGAACAAAAACAGACCCTTCGGCCCAACCAGTCCATGCCGAACATGATTCCAAACTTAACTATTCCCACCTGCCTGCTTCTGACCCATATCCCTCCAAACGTTTCCTATTCATGTACTTATACAAGTGTCTTTTAAACATTGTAATTGTACCCACATCCAGCACTTCCTCAGAAAGTTCATTCCACACACGAACCACCCTCTGTGTAAAAGATTTGCCCCCATGTCTTTTTTAAGATCTCTCTCCTCTCACCTTAAAAATATGCCTCCTAGTCTTGAAATCCCCCACCCGAGGGAAAAGATGAATACCATTAACTCTATCTATACTCCTCATTATTTTATAAACTGCTATCAGGTTGCCTCTCAACCTCTTATGCTCAAGTGTAACACGTCCCAGCCTATCCAGCCTTTCTTCATAGTTCCAACCTTCCATACTCGACAACATCCTGGTAAATTTCTTCTGAACCCTCTCCAGTTTAATAATATCCTTCCTATAACTGGGTGACCAGAACTGGCACACTATTCCAGAAGAGACCTCACCAATGTCCTGTACAATCTCAAAATGATGTCCCAACTCCTATACTCAAAGGACTGAGCAATGAAGGCAAGTGTGTCAAATGCCTTTTTAACTGCCCTGTCTACATGTGATGCAAACTTGAAGGAATTGTGTACCTGCAGCCCTAGGTCCCTCTGTTCTACAACATGACCCAAGGCCCTACCATTAGTTGTATAAGCCCTACCCTTGTTTGTTGTCACAAAATGCAATACCTTGCATTTATCCAAACTGAACTCCCATCTGCCATTTTTCAATCCATGGACCACTTTGATCAACGTCCCTTTCATATTCTTAGAAAACTTTCTTCACTGTCTACTTTGCCACCAATTTTGCTGTTGTCCACAAACTTACTAACCATGCCTTCTATATTCTCATCCAAATCATTTATATAAATGTCAAACAAAAGACATTTTGTCCCTGTGGAACACCGCTGGTGACTGGCCTCCAGTCCGAAAAGCAACCCTCCACCATTATGCTCTGTTTGCTGCCATTAAGCCAATTATGTATCCAATTGGCAAGCTCACCCTGAATCCAAGTGATCTAAATGTATTAATTAGTCTACCAAGTGGAACCTTGTTGAAGACTTTACTAAAGTCCAAGGTCCAAGGTTGACTAGGTCAATTTCGGATATCTGGTCAGCATGGACGAGTTGGGCTGAAGGGTCTGTTTTCATGCTGTACAGCTCTACAACTCTACCATTGCCTGGTTTAGCTGACACGTAACTCCAGATCCCCAGTAGTATGGGTGACTTAACTGCCCTCTGAGATGGCCCAGTAAGCCACTCTGTTCAGCCTTGGTTAATGACCACAACGAACAAAACTGAAATAAACTAGTTTTGTTTAAAATCTAAAGAAACAAATCTCAAATGGGATTAACCGCAAAATCTAATCACTTATGAGAACTTGTTGGTGTCTCAGCAGATTGGAGGAGTAAGCAAATCCCTTTCCACACAGAACAGGTGATGGTCTCTCCCTGGTCTATAATAAGTTGAAATAATTGCTTAAACCCAGTTCTGCAGTGAGAGCACCTGAAGGGTCTCTCACTAGTGTGAATATGTTGAAGGGCTATTGGTTCCCAGGAATTTTTATAGCACTTCCCTCAGTCTGTGCATTTCAAAGGTCGTTCTCCAGTGTAAACTTCATCATAGAATCCCTACAGTGTGGAAACAGGCCCTTCAACCCAACAAGTCCACACCAACTATTGGAGCATTCCACCAGCCCCATTCCCATAAACTACACATCCCCGAACACGAGTGGCAATTTAGCATGTTGCCAATCCACTTAGCCTGCACATCTTTGGACTGTGGGAGAAAGTGAAAACTCCACGCAGACAGTTGCCAGAGGGTGGAATTGAACTCGGGTCACTGGCGTTGTGAGGCAGCAGTGCTAACCACTGAGCCACCACACGACCCCACGGTGTATTAGTAGATGGGAGGACAAAATGAACCCTTACCCGAACTCAGAGCAGGTAAATGAACTGTCCCCAGTGTGAACTTGCTGGTGTCTCAGCAATTCTTTTGGGACTGACTGAATTCCTTCCCACATTTAAAGCAGGTGAATGGTTTCTCCCCAGTGTGAATTCGGTCGAATAAAAAAAAGTTGAGATGTGTGTGTGAAATCTGTCCCACAGGGAGGGCGTCTGAACAGTCTCTCATCAGTGAGCAAGTTGAATTGGATACTAGCTAACTGGAACTTTCATTGAAATTCCTGCAGTCTTGGCATTTAAAAGGTACCTCCACAACGCAAACTCGTTTGTGTTTGAGAAAGCTGGATGATCAAGTGAATCCTTTCCCATACTCTGAGCAGATGAACGGTCTCACTCCAGTGTGGACTCGCTGATGTACTAGGAGTCGAGATGACAATCTGAACTCGGACTCACAGCGATAGCACTTCAGCAAGTGGAATAAACGAGTGAATCCCTTCCCACAGTTGGAATAAGCAAAATGGTGTCTCCCCTGTGTGACTGCACCAGTGCCTTTCCAGGTCAGATGGGGATTTGAAACCACGGTTTTGGCGTCAAATGTTGCTTCAGTGATATTACTGCGTAATATTGTATTGTATTACGTTAAAAATTTGGGAAGACTAAATGCAGAGCACATGGTCAGGGCAGTGGCAGATATAGTCAGCTAAAGTCCTGAAAGAAGTCCTAAACAGACAAGTACGACCATTACTGCAGAGGGAGGACAGTGGTGAAAGAGTAATGTATCGAAATGAGTTCAAATCCGCAGTAAAAGGAGGCACACCTGCTCTTGGGCCACAGGGGAGCAGGGCACAGCACTGAGAAACTCCAAATTCCCAAAGATACCAAATAATTTCACTCTTTTCAATGCCAAAACCTCGCAGGGACAGGGCGATCTGGGTCCGTGCAAACCAGAGGCCTTCACACATTGTGGAGGATTGCAGGGTCCTCTTGAGAGTGAATGGGGCAGAGGGGAATCTAATCTAATGGATCAGGGATGAGGGTTTTTAGTCGTCAGTTAAAGCTGAGGGGAGTTGCGACAAGAGCTGCACTATGTCAACAGCCAGGCGCTTGGTCCCTGGGCTCTGGAAATCTGACGAGTGAGGCGAGAATAAGGAAGCGACGTTTTGGGGCAGCGGACGGATATAGTCTCCACGAACGTCTTGTGAAAGCTGCAAAGGAACCGCTGGCCCCGCGTTTGCAAGAAATGGTCCTCAAGTCCCGGGGCAGAACTTGGGACCTGCTGCCGGCGCCATCTTTATTGGGGGCAAAGTTCCGCGGGACGGGCGCGTGGCCCTGTTGTTTATCTGGCGACTATGGTTTGCGCAGGCGCGGCTGCCATCTTTATGAGGGGCAACCCCGAGACAAATCTACGCTGGGACAACGTGCCCCATAGTGCGGACACAACTTTCTTCTCGTCCTGGGGAAGTGTGAGATGGGAAGGATGTACACGCAGAGCAAACGCAAACCAAGGGAAATGTTTGCCCCGTCTAAGAATTCTGCCCTGGACTGACAGCCGCGGATGTGCTAAACTTAAGTTTATTAGGGTATTAAATCGTGGAATTGCAGGCTGGAAACTCCGAACAAAAGCATCGCATCGCTGGATTCATCAAGTCATGGATATTGTCGGCCTTTGAAGGGTAAGTATTCATTTTAGGTCATTTACCATCCGCTGCATAAGCATCTTTTCCTGACATCTTACCTGTTGTCCGGAAAGGTATTCGTCCCCTGTGTGACAGGTAAAAGGCGGGGAACCGACTCAATACATTTACTTGTTTAACCCTTTTAGTACTAACACACACAATATTAAACGTCAGTTGCGGCACTTACTTATTTCATCTAACTTCAACTTTAACTCACTTCATTGAACTTCACTTTATCTTAGCTTTAACTTAATCCACTTTTAACCCTAACTCTTAACTGCATAAATTTGGCTTGAATCAAATTCAGGTGAAGTGGCCAATGTTGGTCTCACCTCATGGTTCTTTGTTCTATGAAGACTACTTCACGCCTCTGATTTTCCAGCGTGGTCTGGAAACTACTTCCCCTCTGAGAGAGAGCTCCCTTGTTCTGTTCAGAGATAGTAGGAACTGCAGATGCTGGAGAATCCGAGACAACAAGGTGCAGGGCTGGATGAACACAGCAGGCCAAGCAGCATCATAGGAGCAGAGAGGCTGACGTTTCGGGCCTAGACCCTTCATCAGAAAAGGGGGAGGGGAAGGGGGTTTTGAAATAAATAGGGAGAGAGTGGGAGGCGGATAGAAGAGGGATGGAGGAGAGGATAGGTGGAGAAGAAACAAACAGGTCGAAGAGGCGGGGATGGGGCCAGGAAAGGTGAGTGTAGGTAGGGAGTTAGGAAGGGGATAGGTCAGTCCAGGGAGGACTTGTTTGCAAATCTGCTCCTTCTAGAGAGGCCTTTGGCACTCAGCCGATGAATTGATCACATTTTTCAATCCCAACTAATGAAATTTACTGGTAAACAATTTACAAATGTTTATTTTGAGCCATAAACAGTGATATTCCTTACTCCATGTAAGGTAGAGGAGTGGTGCCAGTGGGACTAGAGACACCACGATCCTTGCCTTATTTGCTCAATACAGGAACCTGAAGATCACTATAGGTCATGGGTGTGGCTTAACTGAGGTCAGAGTTTAAACTGGATTGACCGAAATGCCTAGCATGTTTGTTTGTACCTCTTAAACTGTCACAGAGCCATTTCTGCTGCTGGCCACCTGACCACACACTGAGAAAAGCTGTGTTACACCATCATTTTATCATCAGCCCAACAGGAACTTCATCTTTTCTTTATCTACCATATCTAAACCAATCAGGCTTGCACCCCTGCTTCCTATTAAAGACACCAATCCATTTTCCAAGTTCCTCTGTCTCCATCGCATACGTTCCGATGAGGCCAACTTCGACAAGGGAGCCTCTGAAATGTCCAACTTCTTTCTCAACCAAGGATTCCCCAGCACCGTTGTCGACAGGGCCCTCAACTGGGTCCGACCCATCTCTCGCACTTTTGCTCTCACCCCCTCTCTTCCCTCCCGCATCAGCGATAGGATTCCCCTTGTCCTTCCCTACCATCCCACCAGCATTCGCATCCAGAAGAACATCAGATGTCATTTCCGCCACCTGCAGTGAGATGCCACCACCAGACACATATTCCCCTCCTCTCCTCTCCCCTCCCCTCCCTTGTCCGCCTTCCGCAGGGACCCTTTTCTCCAGGACACCCTGGTCCACTCTTCCATCACTCCCAACATAGCCCAATGGCACCTTCCCCTGCAACTGCTGAAAGTGTAACACCTGCTTGTTTTCCTCCTCCCTCCCCAGTATCCAAGGGCCCAAACATACCTTCCAGGTAAAGCAACACTTCATCTGCAATTCCCAGAATCTAGACAACTGCATTCGCTGCTCACAATGTGGTCTCCTCTACATTGGGGAAATGAAGCGTAGACTGGGAGACCGTTTTGCAGAACATCAACGTTCTGCCTGCAAAAAAAGATCCTGAGCTACCTGTTATCTGCCACTTTAATGCACCACCCTGTTCCCTGACCAACATCTGTCTCTGACTTGCTGCAGTGTTCCAGCGAAGCTCAGCATAAGCTGGAAGAACACCACCTCATGTTCCGCTTGGGGACCCTGCAGCCCTCTGGACTCAATATTGAGTTCAATAATTTTAGGGCCTAAACTCTCCCATGTCCTAGCCCCCCACCCACACACCAGGCCTTGTTACCACATCGTCCGCCATTATACACTACCTATTGTTAGCCACTGACAGTCCCCATTAACAGGTATTCACCCTCCTAGCCAGATTGTTATCCATCCCTATGTCTGTCCAACTGTTCTTCTCTCTCTTTGGGCTCTATCCCCACCTATCGTTTACCCCTGAGCCCCTCCCTCCCTCCCTCCCACCCACCCACCCTATCTCCTGAATATAAACCGAGATTTTTCTAGCTACCATCAATTCTGAGGAAGGGTTACGGGCCCTGAAACTTTAACTCTGGTTTCTCTTCACAGATGCTGCCATACCTGCTGAGCTTCTCCAGCAGCTTCTGTTTTCGTTAGGCTCTTACACAGTTCGATCAAATCACAGTTTCTCCAACCAACATTGCAACTAAAATTCCTCATCACTCGAACCATTCTGTTAAATCTCCTCTGCTCCCACTCAGGGATTCTCCCATCCTTCTCAATGTGTGGTGATCTCTGGTTTACACGGTCCCAGGCGCTCTGTGTTCCTGATATCATCTGAAGAGCTAAATGTGTCTTCAGTGCTTCTGATAGCTTTCCAACTGCAGGCTTTAGCAGGAGATCTTCAAGTTAGGAGTTGAAGAGGTGTTTCCGAGTTGAGTATTTCCCACCGTTCACCTACAAGTTAGAGTTTTCACTGGTCTCCCAGAGATTCCCTGGCTGTGGGGCTGGTGTGACACCTTTAACTGAATCTCTGTGTCACCTCTGCATTCCCTGATCACCCCCCTGTCATTGTCTAACTTCCTCTGTCTCTAATACTGGGTTTAGTTTTTCTATGTTCAGCTCAATGACACTAATTTGTAATCATATGTGGTGAAATAAAATCACCCAAATCATTTTGACTGAGAGTAGCGTGAATCTTGCAGCTGCTCCTGAGATCAGGCTTATATATAGATTTACTTCTAGATATGTTACAGTTATTACACCTCAGTATAATATTTTGATTCATTTTTAGTTCTTTTACAGTCAAAAATGCACAAAAAAGCATGATTTTTTAATTTCAAACGGAGTTCTGTTAACAGACCTTTTGAGGCACTGAAGGAGCAGCACCTCATATTCCGCCTTAGGAGCCTATAACCCAATGGTCTCAATGTGGACTTTACTAGCTTCAAAATCTCCCCACCCCTGGCCTCATCCCATGACTAACACTCCCTCTCATCCCTGCCTCCTTGACCTGTCCGTCTTCTCTTCCACCTATCCGCTCCTCCCACCTCACTGACCAACCCCCACCACTGCGTATCTGCACTCACCTATCACCATCCCACCTACCTTCCCCAGCCCCACCCCTCATGACATTGAGGGCATACAAGAGACAGAATTAGGTAATTAGTGGATTTAGAGAAGTGATTTGACTGACTACTTTTGAGGTTCCATTTTTTTTAATCTTCTACTTAATCTCTTACATTCACTCTGTAAAGCCTTTTTTTTTTCCCTATCTGTGTCATTCCAGCCAATGTTTAGAATAACTTCCTGTTTCTTGCTTTCTCTTTTAACAATATGTTTCAAGCAATTTGAGACATCCTTAATTCTGGTACCAGGAAAGCAACACACTATCCTAGATTCATGCTCACTGCCACAGAATCTCCTGTCTGTGTCCTTGACAGGAGAGTTCCTTATCACAATTATTCTTTTACATTTTGTCAAAAACTGCCTAATGTAAGATTCATTCTTCATTACCAAGATCTGACTGTCTCTTCTATTTTCCTCTGAGAGACTTTCCTGTTCAACAGTACCCAAAAGTGAGTATCAGTTTGAGAGAGGATTAGCCACAGGAGACTTCTGAACTACCTTCTTACCTTTCCTGAAAGCCATCCATCTATCTGACTGACCGTGCTGTGTATTCACTTCTCTAAATCTACTAGCTATCTGTTTCTGTCTTTTGTGTGCCCTCAAAGTCATTAAGCCTAAAAAGAAGCAGCTTCTATATAAAATAAACTACATTTCTTTACCAAAAGTTCATATTAAGCATGCAAAATATTAAGACATTTTTAAAAAAATCAAACATATAAATCTTAAATAACATCAACCACTTAGCTGAAACTAACATCTTTCACCCCCAACCTCAAATTCACCTGAACCATCTCCGACACCTCCCTCCCCTTCCTGGACCTCTCCATCTCTGGTAACCATCTCAGCACTGACATCTATTTCAAACCCACTGACTCCCATACCTACATTGACTACACCTCCTCTCACCCACCCTCTCATAAGAATGCGGTTCCTTACCCTCCCAATTCCTCCACCTGCGCTGCATCTGTTCCTAAGATGGAGCGTTCCGCTCACAGACTTCCCAGATGTCCTCCTACTTCAAGGACCATAACGTCCCCCTTCCAGTGATTCCTAATGCCCTCAACCGCATCTCTTGCATTTGCCTTCAAATCCTCTTCTCCCCCAACAAAAATAAAGACAGAATCCCCCTTGTCCTCACATACCACCCGACCAACCACTGCATCCAGCATATCATGCTCCGCCACTTCTGCCACCTACAATCTGACCCCACCACCAAAGAGAAATTTCCTTCCCACCCCTACTTGCCTTCCATAGGGACTGCTCTCTCCACGACTCCCTCATCCGCTCTACACTTCCCACCAACCCCACCACACCCGGCACCTTTCCCTGCAACTGCAGGAGGTGCTACACCTGCCCCTACACCTCCGTCCAAGGCCCCAACCAATCTTTCCAAATCTGACCGGGATTCACCTGTACGTCCTCCAACCCGGTCAACTGTATCCGTTGCTCCCGATGTAGAGGAGACCACATCGGTGAGACCAAACGCAGACTCGGTGACCGATTTGCGGATCATCTGCGCTCTGTATGCTATAACCAACAACACCTTCCAGTTGCCAACTATTTTAACTCCCCCTCCCACTCCCTGGGTGACATGTCCATC